CTGTATATACATACATTCTGTTGTAAAAAGGCGAACATAAGCTTGGAGAACACATAACAAAGCTCTGTTTACAAAATAATTCTTAAGCAAGGTTTACATTTTGTATTTTCAGCAAAAACGTGTTAATAACCCTGTAAAGTGCAGAAGATGTTATATTCGGACCGAAACCTCAACTGACAAATTGGATGTCAGGAATAATAAATGAAGGTCTGGGCCTAATAGTCCTACTCTTAAAAAATAAACGTCAAATTTTTCTTCTGAAAGTATTCACTTCCTTCAGCGGTAGTCATTTTTTGTATGCTCAAAAACTGCTTAGGGAAGGTGTGTGTTCATTTATTATGAGCACTGGTGTTTTACTTAGAATAACATTTTCAGTAGACAAACATTTTACAAGTCGTAAATGTGTTAAAATAACTGGTATGGATATAAGTGCATGGAGAATGAGCAACTGAACGATGTGAACAAGCAACATTTTGTAAGAGAGAAGGTGGTCGCATCAACGTTTCCATGCTTTGATTATACTTGTTATATTTACACAGCGTGATTAAGAGCTATAAAATCAAACTTCTCAAGATTGTCCAATGCAGCTATCGAAGGCATTTGATTATAAGAAGCCGTTTGACAATAAGAACAGTTTTAAAATGCCTGCATATGCAAATGTCTTCTATTGTTGGAATTGAACATTCCTTGCAAGTTTGATCGCATAGATCAGAATCACCTCGTATATTTGTTAGCTGGGACCATCTTATAAAGGCATTCCAGTAAACGCTTTTTCAATTTAATTTAATATATCAGTCGAGTTAAAGTTATGCATAGAAAAATTTTCCTGTATGTGATTTATGTCTATGTTTGAAATTTATGAATACATTCTCAACATACTTTGTTAGGCAGAAGATGTGCAGATCTCATTTAAAATGTATGCCTAGTTGGATGCTCTCAGATATTTCGTGCATGATAACTACGGTTAAATAGATTTCTTTAAAGTTAGAGCGAGTCGCAGTTGACGGAAGAAATGCGATATATGCAGTTAGTTTTTTGTAGCGATTGAAGCTTTTATGTAGCAGTCCCTTAATGATCGTTACGGTCTGCCACATATCAATTCAAATCAAATAAAAATATGCTTTATTGCCACGGAAAAATTCACAAAGCGAGTAAATTAAGTAGTAGTAAAAATTTATGGACCAAGCAAGTAAAAAAAACAAAATACTACAACATAAACTACGTACAGTACAGTCAACAATGGTAAAAAATTAAAAAATATAATAAAACAGTACAAAATATATCACGTACAATCGTCATGGACAAACACAGAGAACACGTAATTGTTCTTGTTTTTAAATCATGTGTTTTGGACAGTAGAAAACTAAAAAATCTTTACATCCAAAAATATTTTGTATTCTCCATGTGAGAATATTTGGGACTTTGAGCACTGTCAGTTTGAAGCTATTAAAATATATATCTATCTATCTATCTATATAAAGCAATATCTATATAAAGCAAATAAGAAAAATATAATTGGAAGGAAGAATATCAAATACTGTGAGAGTTTAAAACAACCTCACCTTTCGATTTAACGGCCTCAAAGAGTTATAGATCCTTAGCTCCTTATGCAGATAAATTTGGATGTGGGTTGTTATACATGGTGTCTCACGGTCAGCGTCCATCAAAATATTTGGGGAATTAATGCTATTTTAATCTTGCAAATTTGGATAATGGCATTTTCGGAGACGCTCTCAAGTTGTTTCAAACTATTTAAAATGGACCACCCTGTATAATATTTTTGATTGCGTTCCTTTCTTTATTTCCAATGACTTTAATGAAAAGCTTTTCATATAAAGTAAAATATAGTTTCTCTCAAAATTTTACCATTAACAGGGTGTCGCCTTGAATTGAATATCTTTTTGAAGATGAACGAGTGAAACTGAAAATCTCAGCTGCAAAATTAGATATTTTTGTGTTCGATCATGAATTATCCGAAAAGGAAATGTAGAATACGAATGTTTAAAACTTCATTATTCCAAAATAATTAAGTTAATCAAGTTTTTTCGTATTCAAATGCGATAATACGTTGCTGATTCATTCAATGGATGGTATTTGCTTAAGTTTGTGGAATTTATACTAAATAAAATAAAACAAAATAAGTGGAATTCTGGGAGACATTGGCAACAATGCGAGAACCTGCCAATTTATTCACTGTTTGAATGTTTTCAAAACTGACACTTTCTCTCGTTTTTTTCTAGTGATTTCTCTCTATTATTCAAAAACTACTACAGTCAGTCTCAATTTTCAACAGTTTTTGAAACTTCTTCAATGTTACGTTATATTTTCGAAAAACTACAGCTGTCAAAGTGACATTTTTCAAAGTGCTTTGTTTGTTTTTTCTTAAAATTCAAAAAGAAAGGTTTTTGATAAAAAATTGATTTTAGTTTCAAGGCATTTTCTTTAAATGAGAATTATTCACGTAACTTCATTAACACTGGCCTCAGGTGGAAATTTTAAATTCAGCAAAAGCAACAGAATATCAATGTTGGCCCATTGTTAACAAAATTCACTGCATTCGAGGTCGAAAACCCAAATATTTGAAGAAAATATTTCTGCCGCAGACGTTTTTCTCTTAATAACTCTCTTAATCCTGGCCCCCTTTGGACTATTAAGACTGGGTTGTAGAGCCAACATTCTGTAAAACCTGATTTTTCGGCAACTCAAATAGGTTACAAAACGAAAAATGTATTACGATTTGAACGTCGAGGAATTTTAGGCAAACGTGAAATTAATTTAAGTGCCCAACAAGCATCACATTTTTGTCCATTTTATAAAAAAATATTTTAGAGAAGCACGAGTTTCTAAATATGTATGCCTACGGTTTATATAATCAGTAATCAGCAACTAACTACTTTTGAAAAGTTCAAAATTTTGCCTAAATTTTGCGTCTACGCATTGAAACTCAGCTACATAATAATCCCCTCATGTATATCTATTGTGTTCTACATAAGCCGGCTATAAACGCAAACTAACATAAAACCAAAGTTCTAAAATCATTTAGTGATGAATTTAAAATATGACGAATGCGATCGGTGTTTTCAGCTCAGCATTAGTTTCCCGCAAAGTTTTCAAACAGTGCTATTAAATAATTTTAACGGAACCGTAAAAGATGCATCATTTTAGTTGTTTCCCTGAAACATAGTTATGTAGATTATTCAGTTAATGTGAATCTTTGTTGTTAAGTTCGAAAGTGTTTAATCCGATATGAAGCGAATCCAAATATTTTCCGTAATTAGTAATCTTAACTTGTTCAATAAGTAAAATAGAACACATGAATTAGTGCCTCTAATGTAAAGCTTCGAGCTTATGGAAAGCTCCCAGAAGATTTATCTTACTATCTACGAGTTTATACATCTAGGGACTGCATACATTGTAAATTTGGGGGAAACTTTGCTACACAGCTGAAACTAGTAGCTAGCTTTCATATTTGTCATTTAAAGTATTAAGAAATTACTAAATTAGGAGACTTGGGATTTACCGAATGGAGTAGGAATGTATTTTGCTTCAATAATTTAGTTAGATGGCAAATGACGAATGATGACAAAATGAGAATTTAAATAAGGGAATTAGAAATGGTTATTAAATTGTGCAAATAACCGAGGGTAATTAATAGATGCAAAACCGGCAGTGAATTCTTCTTCCAAAACCGCTAAAAATAAAAACACATATTTTCTTAAGCTTTTATGACAGAAACATTAAGTATGTTCTTTACAAATATTTGTAATGTATTTATAAATCGACTTTCAACAAAAGAATATCGGGTATTTTATTGCACAAGAAATCAAGAATAGAGCGTTTAATTTAGCCCCTACATAGTTACCTATGCTAACATCTGAAGTAGACCAAAGCAGCCTACACCTAAACCAAATTTCACCATAATTCGTAACTGATTTTATATTTTTTTGTACAAACTAAGACTTAAGTCAACAACAAAAAATTGATAATTTGTGAAAAAAGCGAAAACTCAGAGCGATTGCTAACACATTCGTATTCATTCAGCCTTGTTAAACAATTTACTTTTTCTTAAGAATCTTTTATTAACGATAGCAAAATAGCCATTGAAACATCAAGGTGACTTGTTCACTAACTGGAATAAAGTTAATTTCTTTATTCATTGGTATTTTTTTCACCGATTTTTTCTCTAGGTGATAGGTGTTGCTTCCAAGATGAGAAATATACTTCATCATTCGATAAGGCTCGCAAAATAAGCAGCAAGGTATTTCATATTTAGTAAAAAGTTATTAGTTTAGTTATTCGGTAAAAAAATTGCAAAAGAGATGGGATTGTGCAGAAATTGAACCTGCGACCTCCACGAAGAGATCAAGATGGTACTCCTCCACACTATCATGCAAATGCGCTTTTATTTTTGGATGAAGTATTCCCCATTCGGTGGATAGTAAGGAGATGGACTAGGAGACCTATTAAATGGCCTCCTAGATCGCCAGATCTACCTCCGATGTATTTTTTGTGCCGGTTAACCAAACAATTAGCAGTAGTTGAAAGAGGACATCCGGAAAGAAGTGTGTGCCATAACTCCGGAAATGGTTGCAAATGTAGAAGAGGAGTTTATTGACTACCTTGGTATACTGTCAAGCCGAAAATGGCACACATTTTGAACAATTAATGTGATTTATTGATTGAATTTCGTGATTGAGTCTTGAAATAAATCAGTCCTTTTCACAAATGCATTTGTAAAATATCATCGTAAAAGTTTCGTTTCCATTTGAAGAAAATAATTTGATAGTCGTAAATAAATTTGGTATAAAAAATCGCATTTACTAATAAAATTTGGCCAGTCTCAGCCATTTTAAAAAAACAGTTTATTGAATTTTAAATATAATTAAACATAATTTCTGGAACTTACTGTATGTCAAATGATTGTTCCGGAGAAAACTGTATTTAAATACATTTGTTTATGCTGAATAATTATATTATAGTAAAATTTTGCAAAATAAACCGGGCTCGTGTAGGAATCGAACCTACGACCTCCATTTCGATTCAACAGTTTGGCGCTATTACCACTAAGCTAACGAGCCACGTTGGTAATTGTAAATTTTTACGTACATGATGCCGAAACTTGTCTTTTATTTTTGAAAAATATTGCTCAATATAATATAATAACACATTAACTTTCCTAGTTATTTTTTTAGTCAACCTATGCATATATTGTAGGTTAATTCAGATGCCGCTACTTTTATAATCTCTACTAATACCTTGTAAGACATGCATTGTATTATTTTATTAAGATGCATTGTATTATTTTTGAAACAATTAATCCGTTCTGGTCTCCTGACCACCAGCATATTAGGTACCTCAAGAATTTGAAATATTTATAGAATAAGGCATCTCCAAAGACACTCGTGAAGCAGATGCAAATTAAATTATAGACATTTATTAATTGGTGTGAATAGTGCAAATTTTGCACGTTTCCAATGTGCACTATATTTGCAATTTTTATCACAATTATTACTTACATTCGTGTAATTAATGCGACAAATCATAGAAAATTAATGAGTTTGTTTTTACATTATAAACTTACTATACTCTAAAAGAACTGGCCATATTCTTTATGAAAAAGGAGATTCAACTTTTTTCACTCTTTTATTCATAGATGAAGACCAATTGGAATGCCCAAAATCACAGAAAAATTAATTTTCTTAAAAATGCAATTATTCAAATTGAAAAATAAAGAACAAGCGAAAAAATTGTTTTTTTTTTATTTCTCAACACATCTGTACTTTTTTGAGAGAAAATCAGTTTGGTTACTTTAGTAGTTTCTTAATAAGAAAGCTAAATCTCGTCGACGCACTTTGAGTTTAAAAGTTGTTGTTCCAGTACTAGTAAGGAATTATTAAATCAATTTTTAGATTTGGATTTACAAATAGAAGCTGTAAGCGCAAGAAAAACTATGTTGAATACTTGCTATACTTATAAAAGGTTTACAAGTGTACCTCCCTATCGACTATGGCCCTTTTTACTCGAAAACTTTGCTTTTACAGTAACGGATTACTATGCTTCATCTGGGCGTATGAGTTTGTTGAGTATTTTTCAGCAGTTTGGCAAGTACTCTTGAAGCAATTTTTTACCATGTAGATATGCATTCTATTACACTGCCACCTCGAGGATCCGTGCTTGCAGTAAACCGGATTCATCGACAATCCGGAAAAGCATTTCCGTTATATCGTGCGCTCTATAATCCAGATTTCATATTATTTGGTAATTCGGTCCTGGTGTTTTGAGTTTTTGCCTTCGCACATATTTGAAGAAAAACTAAATCTGCCGAAGCAAAATGGTTTCAAATCGAATATCGAATTATCTGCAAATAATAATTTTAGAGCTAGCCGGGGGTGGATTTCCAACTTTTCGAAAAAAGGCCGCAGTATGCGTGTTTTTAAAGTGTCTGGCCAAAAATTATCCGGCGATCATCGTCACGTCCACAAGATAAAAGAATTAAATCGTTCACCTACCCAAATATGCAATGCAGGTAGCATTCACAAATATTGTCCGAAAAATCCCAGATTAGCCGTCAGGAAAGAACTGCACCAGGGAGGATAAGCAAAGAATGCGTTACATTTGCAGCATGTTTTCTAACTCTGACGGTTCATAAAAACTGCTAATGATAGGAAACGCAAAAAATCCAAGATCTTTTATTTTTTAAACCTGATAGTGAACCAACCTGGTACGGTGATACAAATACATACAAATTTTCTACTAATACCTAGATGAGAACTGCAAGTTTTGTAGACTCAATTATTTGTCAGATTGGATATTATTTATAAAGTCTTAGTTTGCCTGAAAGGGCCTTTTTAATCATCGTCAGCGCCTCCCACCATGGGACTGTAGAAGAATTTTACTAGTAAGGTTAAGCAGTTTACAACATAATTTCGTCACCTACTACCCGTACAGCACGTTTGCAACCTACGGATCAGAATCTAATTCGATTGACTAACCTGTCTTACCGAAAAAGCCTTTTCGCTCATATTGGATCTAGTAACGATGAGAAAGTTGAAGTGTTGGAAAAAGATTATGCCTCGCGTAGCGAATAAGTCAAGCTCTGAATATGAAGCTCTGATGCATATGGATCAGATATGGATCTGGATCTGATTCCTTTTAGTCAATTGCGGCGATATTGGCGTACTTTAAATCGATACTTTTAGTTTACTTTAAATCTATCGCCAAGACAAACTCGAACAAGCGATTGCAAAAATTAGAGAAAACAAATAAAAATAGTGTTCAAAAGAAAGTAGGTATTGGCAGATTCTATACTGATATTGTTGGTTAATGGCACTTTTATCATACCGACTCAAACGCAGAATTTCACTTTTTTCACAATTTATTGCTGACATCTCCCTAAACACGTTTCCATGCCACCCCCAGAAGAATGGCCCCACTTTTGAATTATCTTGTAAAATGAAAATACTGCATAAACCACACCATCTGAAGTCTGAAGACATTCCAAGATGACTATCGAAAATTACATTTTGAATTAAACCAACAATATACATACCTAATTGAAAGCGAAGCCTTTGAAACCAACAAAAATACGAAAAATTATCAGCAAATGTGAGAAAATACTCCAGTTTTAATTCATATTGTATAAAACTGTATTAAAAGCATGCAAATGTAATGGTTGATTCGCAAGTTCTGATGTTATTAATGGTAGACTTCTAAAATTAAACAGCTTTCGATATTTATTTTTCCAATCTAAGTTCTCCTTTAATATTCGTATCGATTTCCACGCCTCACAATTATTAATTTTCTGAGAAAAACATTAGATACGAAATCCAATAAACAAACATTCCCTGATGTACGCTAACAAAACTATCCACGGAACAATTATTCATTGAAACCAACACGTTATTCTAGAAATTTGTTATTGTATATCAGGGAAATTAAATTATTTACTCTGACAGAGCAACACACCGAACACTTCTTGTGATGTTTTGTTTTATATATTTGTTTAATGCGATAAATCAAAATGGAAAAATAAACAAATCTTGAGCCAGTTGCCAGTGACAAAATAGTATGACGAATATGAGTTATTGGATTGTTTATGCTGTAGCCGCCGTTACAAGTATTTTAGTGTGTGTGCTTTAGCGTAAATGTTGTGTTACAAAATTTGAACTGTTTTAGTCAGTATAGGTTAACATTAAAAGCCACCGCTCATCTTAATGATCACTATACGTCTAAATAACTTGAACCGTTATTTAAATAAAGTGTTATAGTATTATAACACGTTGCAAACGGAAAACAGCTTGAGCGAGCAACCTCTGGAAAAACCACTAAAATTAACTGAAAATCTCATATACTCACATACATTGTCACGAATATCTAGTTCAGTTAATAACACTGTCTCTTAACAACCACAAGCTTATCTACTTAACACTTATTACAACACCACACTATTTCAACTAATTATGACATCTAAAATTCACGCTCTTTACGTATGGATTGCTATTCAAATCAATATTAACTATACTATGCTCTAATTAAATTAAAGGTTGCTTAACATTTTTGTTAAATATTAATGTTAGAGTTTATTTCCATCGGCGTCTTACAAAGCATACGCTAATAATTACTTTCCTTAATGTTTGAAACGTCCTATAAATTTAAATCCCCAAGCGCATTATTACCGAATTACCACAGGGGTAATTTTCTTAAAATATTGACGTTTTTCTTTATACTATTTCGTCAGTAAAGGTATTAAAAAACAATTGAACTTCTTGGTGGTTTCGTAGACTATCATGTGCTTCTTTAATAGTTTAGAACAAATATTTTCAATTTTATTTAATAAAAGTCTGGTTTGATAACTATCAGGTAGTCTCAAAAACTTGAAATAGACGTTAATATAATAATAGTAACAAAATAACCGAACTTAAAATGTCAATAGACCGATTCTGAAGGCTTATTTACTGAAGCCTTAATTATCAGCGCTCCTAAACGGATTATTCCTTTTCCTTTTCGGAAGGATCTTCTACGTTTCGATATTTAAAAATGAATTTTATTAACTACTCTTGCAGCTTTCAGTTACAACGTTTTACTGCTAATTCAAGAGATGCGATGCAGTTGTTTTTTTTTTCGCTGTAACGGAAAGTTTATTCAAGAAGGAATCCCGGACAAATAAGTTTTTCCGAATATTTTCCAAGGTTTAAGAAAAATTAGCGCTGTAAAGCCCCACAATATGAATTCCAAACGTGCAAAAAAAATGCATGCATGAAGAGGAAAAATACATTAAATTACATTAAAACTTGAGAAAATATATTTTTGCATATAACGCCCTTACAGGGTTATTTTCGGGCATGATTTCATATGCCTTCTATTGTTGCATTGAACAATCCTTCCAAATTTTATTCCACATTTCTGAATCACCCTAAATGTGCGAATGCATAATATTCAATTCACTAAACGGCTTCAAACTAGCTACCAGTTAAAACGAATTAATACTTTGACCCTACGATCTACACAACATACCCCATAAATAACTCATTAATTATGTATAAATCAGAACTAGCTAAGGCAATTGTAAATGGAAGGAAAGGAGAAACTTCTATTCCAGCAGCCAAGTTTCACACATATTTATTCAAAAGATATTTCAGAAAGTATTATTCTATGGAATGTTTAGCAGAAAATACATCTGTAAACATACCATACACATTAATTGTATTTAATGTAATCAAATGCATCTGAGAGGCTCGTGAAATTATCATTTCAAATGTGCACATGTATATTTTACGAATGTTAAAATAAACTGACATATTACGTCGGCTACTATGTTTCTATACTACATATTATGGCCATCCATTTCGAAACGATAAACTTAAACTAACCACCTACCACAAGCAACTAAGCGTAGGTAAATCAATATCCCTTTTCAGTTATACCTATAAACTATATTTCCTTTCCCCCTGCAATAAACTTTAGGAGAACTTAGATTTCAACTACTTTTGTGGGTATTAAATATTAGCAGAAGATTAAAAAAAACGCCCTTTCACAGCAATTTATGGGCTTCTGCAGAACTTATAATAGTTTATTTAAATATTTTAATTAAAAGTGCGTTAGATTTTAGCAAAAATATAATTCTAGCAATTTATCAAATACGCAATCCAAATCAAATTTTTCAGCAAACACTTAAATCCACAAAATCTATTTCTAATTTTTATCAATTTTTACTAGAAAACTGAATACTCTATCTGAATGGCGTTAAAATGTGCCAATAACTAACTACAAACAAACAACTAACTACAAATGAACAAAAGTTCATGTTGTTACAGTGTTGAAGTTTTGAAACAGGCTTGGATGGCTCAAATGAATGTAAAGTTTAATTTTTCTTGCAATACTATTAAATTTTCCGTTACCACAGGCGGAGCGGTGTTATAAAATTTGCGTATTTTTTACATAAAATTGATTCAGTAAAATTTACCATTATTTAGGGCGAGTTTGATAATAGAAGGAGTTTAGCGGTTGATAGAAAATGCTACTTTAAAATGAAAATATCATATGAACGTTTATTGAAAACCGCTTCGTTTTTGAGATGCAGGGTGACTGAATTAACATTTTATTTTAACTTTTTAAATAAGTTACTCAAATTCCCACTTTTATGGGGCTTTTCGCAATACCACAGCCAATCATGTCCAAATTTTCAAATTATAAAAACTTGTTCTGCCTGCCCGTATCAACCTAATTTGGATAAAAATAATTTTCTAAAAAATTGTTTTTCCACACAAGAATATCTAAGATCGTGAGATCGGTTAAACATGGAGGCCACATAACCGGACCACCACGTCCATCATTCTATATAATTCCTGTTTAACCACGTTCTTACGTTTTCACGCTCTTTTTCTCAGTTTTTTTCGTATGGGGTTCCTTAAAAGATAGGGTTTATGTCACGCCAATCGAATATCTCATGTTACTGAGAAGAAACGCCCGTCAAGAAATTAAAGTTTTTCATTTTGCTCGAATTCGAAGACCTGTTGAGCGTCGCTGCCAAATCTGCATTCAGCAAAACGATTTTAATATTGAAAATTACTAATTTAAGTTTGTTACTTTGTTCTGTATTTATTTTGAATTAAAAAGTTTGTTGAAAAACACTTGAAAACGGTTACTGTTTGCGACTTCAAGCAAGAGTAGCATTTTCAAGTAAATATGAACAGGAAATGAATTTATTTCTAAACTGGGGTGATAAAGGCACAAAAAAAATATCTAATTGTAATTTGAAAAATTAGATTGACTTAGAAAAAACTTGGACATGATTGGATGTGGAATGGCAATAAGCCCCATAATGCAGAATTTTTATAACAGTGACTTAATACTTAAGTTAAGTCAAATGTTTGCCACCCTGTATCCTAAAGACGAAGCGGTTTTCAACATATGTTATTAGAAGTTTAAATAACAACGTTCACATCGATAATGATCTGGAAAAAACTGGGAATTTGCTGTGGATTAAACCGTTAAATTTAGAAAGAAATTGCAGTGGTCGTTAATTGAGTAATAATATTGTACTTTTAATAAATATCTATACTGGGATTTCAGCTAAAACAGTAGTCTAAAAATTGCATTCTCGATTTGACGTCACAACTGTGATTTTTTTGGATATACTTTATGGAAATAAATACATTTTTCTGACTTTATCAAATATCATTTTATTTGAGATTTTTATGTAAATAAGAATACATGAATATTTCCGTCGCTCCTTCCATCGAAATATTTCTGCTATTTAATATAAGTTATCTTCAAAGTACAATTGCAAACGGTTGCTAAATACCGACCTCAGATTATTTGGCTGAAACTCGTTCAATTATAATTACATCTTAATCAAGAACATCTATTAGATAGCTGAAAAGCAAAAGCATATTACGGTAATTTGGATCAGATATTCTCTCTTATCTAAAAACAAGAACGAAACAAAAAGATGTTGAGAGAAATTGTTTGTTTACATTTAATTATTTTTTATATCATAGCAGGTTTTTCTCATACGAAGAATCTAATTTCCATGCATTATGTCTACATTTCTTATAAAATTTCTATCTAGTCATTTCATACAATTCATTCTATTTTGAATATATAGGACCTCAAAAGCATTACCAAGTACGTCGAATACGACATTATTAATGTTACTATCGCAGCAGGAAATTGCCGCAAGTCCATCAGAAAATGTACGCCGTGATCACGTAGAAACGGTAGAAATGTAATGGGATGTGGTATAATACCTAACCCAAGTAAGTACTTTATGTTCTTGTACTTTTCTAATAGTTTAATTTTTAATTATTTTATTGATGTAATTGAATTACTTAATTTCAGCTAATAAATAAAGAATATACTTGTGATCGTTTTTAATTAAATTTGAGAAAATCTTTGTTTCATAAACACTAATTTAACTTCCTTTAATTAAAAAATGTATTGTACTAGGAAATGCTGAGAAATATGCTCAATACGCTGAATGAAAAATAGCAATAATACTCAAAAATAGCAATAAGACTCTCGAAATTATTTTGAGGACCGAAACATTGTACAAATATGATAGTGACATAAATTAAGTGAAACCTGATAAAAAAAAATAAACAATGGACAGTACCTTCGTATTTATATCGACATAAACTACCAATGATCAGTGGAAAAGCTGAGACTAAAGTTTTTCCAGACCTCAATGGCAGTTTAAAGTTTATTTTCTTAAATCACGTCACATAAAAAATGAAGAGGATTAAAAATGCGTTATTCGACTAGGTTGATTTTATTTTTTCAACCACATACTCTAACATTAATTTGTTTAAAGAAATTATACATTAAAGCACTAATACTATTATGATTATTATTAAGAGATTGGAACACAAAGCTTGCAATTTATTTCCATTCAATTTTTCCTGTTGTAACTGGGCAATGAAAACGTGTTAATTTAATTAAATTTTTTTTCTTAAAAATTTTTGCACGATGTTGAATGTAAATAAGGCGAATTTCAAATACAGCACGTACCTGTAACGGCGCGAAGCGATGTTTTGGAGCTCAAACACTCACGAACTCACTGGAAAAGACGGTATAACTGGATCGCCAAATCAAGAGACGGGATCACAATGTCCCGGAGGCCAACATTGATCCTGCGCACCCTCAACGCGGGAGAAACTGAGTCCAAAATATATTTTTTTAAACCCATATTTCTTCGCATATAATATGCGGACCCAATCTAAAACCAACAAAAATATTTTGAATCTATTAGACGCAGCAATTGTAAATTGGTATTTGAGAAACTCAAACGTAGCTTGAATAATTAAACAATTCTCCACATTTATTTATCCTGCAAACGGAAGATGCGAATAAAATGTATATATAATAGGTTGAATCAAATGGCTTGTGTGGACATTTTCTATAGTCAACAATTTTACTCAGAGAACTTAAACGTATTTCCAAGAAACGTATCTGAGATATTCATGCACATCTGAAGGGAAGAATCATGTGTTTAAACGTAATTTCAAATTGAAGTAATCTAAATTCTGGAAAGCACGTTCTTTTTTCGAATAAGAATGCTTTAAGGCTTCAGCATAAAATTCAACAAAGTTAATGTTCACATTCAACATAGTGCTCCACATATCTCTTTGGTTTGTTCTTTGATTTCAATCGAAAAGTTCGATCTGCAGGATGATGTTGTTGATGGATTGCTTTTAGATGAGCTAACTTTGGAATTGGGGCGCTTTCATGGTGCAGGTGATTCTCGTACTGTAATAATAGAACGCAGAAAGTGAGTGGCATGGTCTTTTGCTATGAAGAGTTTGATTCTTAAATAAGATGAAGTTTCCCCAGAAAAGCTGAAGCTTCAAATGTTGTCAGATTTGCAAACAAATAGTCTGCTTTTGGTATTATAGCTGAGATGGAGACTTTATTCTCTATGGCGATGGGATGAATCCAACAAAAAAATCGTCCTGGAAATTGTTTAAATTATTTTTAAAGTGATAACTTCTTATGGTGCGGGCGGAATGGATTGGAGTGCGTAATGGTGTTGTTCTATCTCTCTGTGAGACAAGTAGCTGCGCAGTTCTCTTTCGCACGCACACAGTCGCCCGCGAGTTCCATTCCGTTCCATTAGGCCGGTCGTCTATTATAATAGTGTGTAGACTGTGGTCCGTTCGTATCTATATATTAGTGTTAGTCCGTGGGTCGATGTCCTTTGGATGCGTTTTCGTCCTGAATGCTTTTGTCAGCAATCGTGCGAAAAGGAGCTAATGATCCAATCTCATTGCAACGTATAGAAGCTCGTCCACTTGATGCGAAATCATTCATACGAATTATCTCGATCGATTGTAAGTAAAATGGAACATTAGTGTTATAAAGCGCATCAAAAGGACGACCGGCCTTAAGGTTCCAGTTTACTTGGCCAAAACTACCATTCATTCTAAGTGCAGATGTTGATCTTTCTTCTGTTGGAGCGCAAAATTTAATGTAAGTTCTTGAATCAAAGTTACAATTAAATATGATAATTAATCCAGCACAAGCTACAATCTAACAAAATGAAATGAACGTGACAAAAGAATGTGAAATTTATATAAAATATAAATTTTACATTCAAAAGAAAATTAAATTACCTTTGACCTATTCCTGATCCCTTCATAAATTATAACTAACAAGAATATTGAAATTATAAATTAGTATTGCCATCATGCGTTAAACAAGTTCAACAATTTAGGGTTTCTATAAATAATATGAAGTTATCACTTCTGTCGAGCGTCCCGTGACGCACACCTTTTTTATTGCCATACAGTCTTTAGAACGGTGGCTGTTGGATTGTCGTCTGACAATCGACGCATTTAGTGGCCCAGTAATGAAAATGTGAAAGCTATTCATTCGTAAATGTAATATTGCTATTGAACCACGCGTAGTTATTTGCTTTGGTTTATTTCAATATATATGTTTGACCAAACTCAGTTTGACTACTTGTGTTTCAATTGTATGTTCTATAACTTCATAATTAACTTTCATCACATGAATTATATACAAGGTGACAATTTGAAGAATTGCAATCTGAGCAGCAAAAAAAGATTTCTCGGATCCATTTCAATAATAACTAGGGGGAACGAAATTTATGTATAAACTAAGCTACTCAAAATTGTAAATAGTAACCTTCTACTTGTTATAGCTCTTTTTAAACCTTTTCAAAAGTTTTACTATTGAATTAGATGTCATTACATTGGATAAAGTTGTTACTGGCTTGTTAATTAAAAACTGTTTCAAATTGCAACAATAAATCTTATTAAATGGCAACACAAAACTTTGAATTTCCATTTGTAAAGCTACCATACATCTTCTTTGGAGAATTGCTTCTTTCAATATTCGCGTATGATTAAAAATCACTCTGTATACTTACCCAGCAAGTAATTATTTTTCCTTTCAGAACGGGTTTGTCTTTTTGCCATCGATTCTCTTTCAATTCAATTTTAAAAATGTTGTCTTAAATACCTCTGTTTGCTCTCCTACATATACGAGTTTCCTGAAGTGTTTTCCAATCCGGGCCGACTGAAAGCATAGTTTACTAATTTACCCTCAGTTGCTGGGATGGCGGAAACTCGATGTATTTGGTTTTAATATTTAAGGTGAATTATGTGTGTTAGTTTTTACAGAGTCTTATCCATGGAAATTGCAGGTGTAAAATTACGAGCTATAAGAATTTGGATAAACAAACATGCAGTTGGCAAGTATTTTTTTAGAAATTGTATCTACTTTTTATTGGTAAATCAATATGTGCATCTGTGCCAATCAGTTTCTACCAACTTAAAATTACTTTAGTCTGTCAAAATTAATGGAGCAAAGTAGAACCGTAAATACTTTCAATTGAGAGAAAAAAAGACATGCACAGATATTGCAGGATATATTACGATCTCAGATAATTGAAAAATGCCCACATTAACTCACATCTAGCGTTATATTTTCCATTACATCCAATAGTAATATTGGAGAACTATATATTTGTTCAGTTAATTATTTGAAAATCTAATTTGCCACACCAGCATTATACAGATTTTCTCAGTTGCAGTTTAAACAAATATCATACAAAACTTATTTTTAAATTTCTTTCGTCTTCCATAAGTAAGTTTGTATTAACTAATTGTTGTTTGTGTCTTATTAACTTTTATTGTTTTATTTACTTCTCTGGCAGCTTTTCCGCATGGTTTTATAAATAACTTTAATCTCGTATTTGGAATTTGCTTCCCGTAATATCGTAATCAATTTTTTTATGTATATTATTTGTTGACACCTATATTTCATATGGCAATCATGTAAAAGCTAGTTTTTTTTGCTAATCACTTAAATATGTGCGTATGAAAACTTATTATTATATTCACTAGCCGATTGATAAGAATTTTATGACATTATTTACTTATGAATTGAATGAGTATTTGAAAAGTAGATATTTTTTGTACTCCCAAAAATGTCCCCCACGGTGTTCTAGAAGAATTGGAATCACCGGTATATCACTAATCATCAGGTATAATCAACAATAGTACCTGCTATTATATCGTAAATAGAACTCGAAAGTCTAAGCAGGAGAGGATACTCCGATGTAATAACATCGAACTGCATTTGAGCAATATTTATGTTACGACTAAACGCTGATTGCTGGGTATACTAGAATTACTGGGATTATATCGGAATTATCCAATGTGCAAGGAAAATAATCAATTTACATAGCGTCGGAGCGTCCACATTTTTTTCCCATTATTTTCGGTTCAAATATTATTTAAACATTGTTTAGAGAGTCGTGAGATTGGAAATCTTATCAATGCTAAATTCCCGCTAATGCGTAATTCCGAGAACAGCGCGCACTTTGCAGGTAATAACCAGTTCGAGTTTGCACGTGAGACTTCACATAAATGTCACAAGTAGTTCGCATAAAATTCTCTCGGGTTTAGTACTCAAAATAAACTCTGTTTCTCGGGAAATTTACTCTCAACTTTCCAAAGTTTACTCTTGGGCACTCTCTATCTCCGCGACTCTGCAAGTGTACGCTCGTATTGCCCAGACGAATAATTCAGATACATTATTATTTAATAAACAGTCACAACTAGTGCTAGTTAGACAAAGAAAACATCACGAGATCTTTGTTATCCGGCAGCTGCTCCAAACTTCAGCCACGGTTCACTAAATCATTCTCAATCACATTGGTTCTTCGAATAACGAAAATTTTCCTCATGAATCCAGGGTCCAACGAGTTCCTACATTTTGGACCTGCGAGCCGAACCATTCTGACTCTGCGAGACCCCACATTTTCAAAACTCTCATCGCCCAACAAACTGCCGATTCTAAGTTAGTAAGCTAACAAATAAACAGCTACTTTTTTTTTTCGGTGAGGTTTGGGAAATGTTCTTTTATGCACTCCCAGAGCTGATGGTCTGTCGCTCTGGGTTGTGTGGGACTCCAGCTAAGCTGTTTACCCACTAAAACCCTTTCCTCACCGCCGAGGTGGTGTTTGGCATTGCACCGCGGTCATTTCTGTCCTATTGTGCCCTCGTAATTTTACTCCCTCATTATCCTTGTATATTCAATGAATTCCAGAAGAATCTTGAGGGGAGTTCGCGTGATCTGGTCTGGTGGAATTGCATCCCCTCCCAGGAGTCCTCGCCTACCTGTTGCATATGACGTGCAGTGACACATAACATCCAGAGTAGATTCATCCTCTAATTTCATCAACCCCTGCAGGTCGGTTGATCGCTCAGTCCCATCCTGAAGAGATGTTTTTGCAGGGGGCGTGTCTTGTTAAAAAGGCCACTATCCTCCTTATTTTTTGCCTGCTGAGACCTAGCAGTTCATTTTTACCTACTGGTTGTGGAGGTCCCACCAACTGCTTTGCGGTATGGAGTCGCGGAGTCTCCTCCCAGTACTTTCTGTGTTGTTCCAAGATCCACTGCCCAACTGCCACCCTAACTTGGGCATGAGATATACCACAAGCAGGTTCTTGGTTGGTCAGTGGTTTCTCGGTCCTTGCCTTACCAAGTTCCGCAGCAATCTCGTTTTCTTTGTTCCTGTTCGTACCTGTTGCCCAAGTGAGTTTTACTCTGTTTGAGCTCCCGG